GCGATGTTGGCGATCTGCCGGGATACTAAGGGGAAACAAAGGAAGAGGCAACAATGCTTGATAAGAAACATACTTATTACCTTACTCATGTATTGTAACCCCTGGGTACGGTATTTTCACAATTAAAAAAAACTTATTAATAAAAAAAGAATAAAATTCAAGATCAAAAGAAAAAAGAAATGTTTGGGGCTTTTTGTTCTAGAAATATAGTTGTTTACCTATTGAACACAATTCATGTGCTCATGGTCAGAAAAAATTTTAGAGGGACCAGTAGTTACATATTTTAATTCTGTCCCTGAAATTTTTTTAAACGTTTTATTGTTGTGCCATATTAAATATATCACAAATTTTTCTACCAAGAAACTTAGAACACGAGTAAAACAAGAAGACAACTGAAGAGGGGACTATCAATAGAAAACATGATATTGAGTGATAAAATAATTTTATTTCTATTATTTTTTAAATTATTTTTGACAATATTCCAGTAGAAAAGACATTAAGCAACCGACTTGAGAAATAATCACTGAATCAAAAGAATAAATTCAATGTGTTTAACTAGGTAGGTTCTTTCTTAAACTGAATCAGTGTATGAAGTTGTAAAGGATAACTATTTTAAGGAAGAATGAGTAAAAGATAGCAAGATAGCCTTGTTCAGACTCAGAGATCTGAGTCTTTTCAAAGAACTAACCTGCAAGGGTTACCATAGAAACAGCATTACATTTAAAAGACATTCTCAATATTGTGTCACAGATTGTTTCTTATATTATGCTGTATGATTTCTTATATTATACTACTGTATATTAAAATGGAAGCATAAGAGTTAATGCTACACCTAGAATAATTTTTTAGAAGGCTAGGGAAGAGTTAGCTGACCATGTTAGACTAAGCATGATGCTATTGGGAGCCAACCCTCATTGGTTATATTGGAAGAAAAGCTCATTTGAAACATTTCAATTATATTGAAATTATATTCAATTTAATTTTCTATCGTTGATTTTTAGAAACAGATTTTTAGCTGGCAGCCAGCCCTTTTTTTTTTTTTTCAGAATTTGAATTTCATTACAGGGCTAAATTTGAAACCAACTCCTATAAGTATTTTGTTAGCATTGGGATTACAGGAGGCAGGAAAGTGTTTTAAATGGTGTTTTGTTGTCCTTGAGGTTTTTTTGGCTTTGGCAGGAAAAGCCTGTGGGAGGTACAATAATAGAAAAGGTCCATTATGTTGTTAGCTCACTAGATTTTCTGTTTTCCATTTGTTCTTGGTGGATTTAGCGCTTTCCTACTCTTGTTACTATATTGAGGGGGGGGAATTCATTTTTTAAATGCTCCTTATTTTCCTGTAGGTTGTTTTGGTAGCATTCACTATTGAACTTTTTTAAATGCTTGGACAAAAACAGATTCTATGCACTTAGAATTCATTTGTGTCCAAATGGTTGGTGCCCAGATCCCTTCTAGATCCCTTCTTCTTTAACATTCAGTAAGGGGTGTGCTGTGCCTTCTAATGAAATTTCCTCAGCAGTACTTTAGTGCCTCTAATGTAATAGTTACATCATTGTTCTAATGAAGAACACATAGTCCTGGTGTGTTTCCTCTCTCGGGCATGACCAATTTGTTACTGTCTTGTTTCTACGCTGAATAATAGACTGCAATTCCAGATTTGGAGTTTTCTATATTATAATGGAATGGTAATTGTTTTTTAATTCTCTGGAGAAATTTTTGTCCTGTTAACATTAAAAGATAATATGTATAATTTTTTAAAACTTATTTCAATAAATGTTCCCATTTTTGCCTTACTATTGAAAATAGTTCAAAGGTAACATTAAGTAGCTTTAAAAATAGTTAAATTTCCTTCTTATCTCCTTTGTTACTTGAAGAAAAGGCTTTGAAAAAAGTAGCGTGTATGCTTTTTTTCCTGATATCATTTTAGTTGTCTTTTCTCTAATCACCTTTGATTTCTTAATTGCTCTTACAACTAGAAGATGTGATCAGCATTTCTGTATAAGTCATGTTGCTTTTGAAAACACTCACTTTCTTCCTTCCTTTCTCTCTCTCTCTCTCTCTCTCTCTCTCTCCCTGTTTCTTTTCTTCTGCAGTATTGGGGTTTGGATTCAGGACCTTTGCTGTTCAGCCATCCCTCTAGCCCTTTCAGGGTTTGGGGCTCTTTCTTGGCTTTTTCTGCTCAAGGCTGAAGCTCTACCACTTGAACTACACCTCCACTTTGGGCTTTTTGCTAGCTAATTGACAATAAGAGTCTCACCTACTTTTCTGCCTGTGCTGGCTTTTTTTGGTAATTTATTGGAGATAAGTGTCTCAGACTTTGTAGTTCAGTTAATTCCCAACTGGCCTGAAGGTGAACAAACAAGAATAAGCTACTATTATTTTAAATTACTGAGTTTTATATTGATTTATTATAAAGCAATAGCTTTCTTTCCTGGGCTGGCTTTGAACCATACTCAGAATATTTTTTTAATTGGCAATGGACATAAACTTAATTTTGAAGATAAATAAAAACAAGTGCTAAACATGGATAATGTTTCACTTCACTAATAAAATAAAGTCAAATTAAAATAGTATTTATCGAAGGAAATGTTGATACTGTTGCTGGCAAGGATATGAAGGGACAAACTCATCAATTTGATCATTAGGTATCTTAAAATCATTAATATCGTTTAACTTTTCCATAACTTTTTTCATGGTATTACATAGTGGAAAACTGAAATCTACCACTTTAGCCACAGTGCCACGTTTCCTAGCGTTCAAATGGAGATAAGAGTCTCACAGACTTTCCTGCCTGGGCTTTGAACCACAATCTTCAGATCTTAGCCTCCAGAGTAGCTAGGATTACAGGTGTGAGCCATCAGCACCTGGCTTCATGGAAATATCTTTTAAAAGAGGAAGTTCAGAAGTTTATGTATTTTAAACTTTTCAGAAGTTTAATCATAATGTATTTTGGCACTGATTTCTTTGAATTTATACTGTTTGGGGTTTGCTCTACTTGTTGAGTCTCTAAGTTTACATGTCTTGCTTATTTGATGGAATTTTATGAATTTTTTTTTCTTTTTAAAGTTGAGATGTACTCAGAGAAACAGCGCTAGTACAAAAACTTTCCTGAGCCAGGCACCAGTGGCTCAAAACTATATTGTAGTCCCAACAACTCAGGAGGCTGAGATCTGAGGATCACAGTTAGAAGCCAGCCTGGTAGGGAAGGCTTTGAGGCTCATCTCCAATTAACCACCAGAAAACTGGAAGTGGCACTGTGATTCAAAGTGATAGAGCACTAGCCTTGAGCAAAAAAAACGCTCAGGGACAGCACTCAGGCCCTAAGTTCAAGCCTCATAACTAACAAAAAAAAAAAAAAAACCTTCCTGGATTACTGACTTATTTCAATTTCTGGTTCTTTTATCTTTAAATCTAATGAGTTCCATTTTTTGCCCAAAATTGTAAAGAGTGTGGATTTTTTGTAAGCATAAGTTAGGGAAGTGGCATAATCTACATCCACAGTCAGATCCTCTAACTTCAAATCTGATATTTTTCTCTTTCTCTGAGCTTCTAAGAATCCTTATCTGTAAAATGGAAATAATAATGTCTGCAGTACCTGCCCTCAGGGAAGATGGTAATCACCTAAGAGTGTAATACACATCATTTTGCATGCTAGCTAAAATACAGATAACTAAAATAAAGTCAGGGTGATGCACCTTGACTTACATTTGGGCTACATCTTAATAAACCTTATACATTAAAAATATTCTAAGCAAAAATTGAAGGCTAGGCAGAGTGACCCAAGCCTATAAACCTAGTTCCTTCGGAAACTGAGATTGGAAAATCATAGTTTGAGGCCAGTTCAGTTTATGAGACCCCCCACATCTCAACCACTGTCTGGTCCTTGTGGCACATACTTGTCATCCCCGATGACACAGAAGCACAAGTAGAAGAATCACAACCCATCAGAGCAAGACCCTGCCTTATAAATAACCAACCCATAAAAGGTCTGGAGACATGACTCAGGTGCAAGCACAAGGTCATTGTCAATCCCCCTAGGACTGTCAATTTTTTAAATACATTTAATACATTTAGCCTACCAATTATGAAAAGCTTGGCAATATAGCACACTGTAGAATATGAGTTGTTTAAACTCATTAGCTCATGACTGACTTATGATTGCTTCTATAGCCTATTATCACTAGAGTATTATATAGCATATCACTCATCTTAGAACAGATCAAAATTTAAAGTATAGATTTCTTCTGAATACATATGGTTTTTACATCATTGTAAAATAAAACTCAAGTTAGACATCTGTATACTTGCTAAGATGGTAAGCTCAATCATAATTTAGCTTACTTCTATGGGTTTGGACCTTGAAAAAAGTGTTCACTATTTTGTTATTTAAATTAAAAACCAGCAAATAATTAGCAGATCGGCTATTTTATATGAAAAGAAAACAGTTTAGTTGAAAATTGTTCACTTGCTCTCTTAACTTTTTTCCTTTTTAAGATATCATTCCTGAAGGAAAGACTGATCTGTATAAAACTCTTAAGGAATATATTTTTCTTTGTTTTCGATTCGGGTGGATATCATTACCATAAATACATTCAATATGAATGTATTTCTAATATGGCTGGCAGATGCATGATACATAGAAGGTTAGGGTAGAATAATAATCACTTGATTTTCTGTGATTCTGAACATGACTAAAGTAGACTACTGAGGTTAGCCAAGAGAGAATAAGATATAATTGCTTGCCTAAAGTGATAATATCTTTTCAGTGTATCCTTCGAATACCAATGAAGCAGATAATTTCAGCAAGAAGGCTTTCTTCATTTGGGAACTGGGAAATGAGGGTAGTAATTAACATGAGACCAAACTATATGTGCATATGCCAGATATATGTTAATCATTGGGTTCCACAAAATAAAATATCTCTGAAGTATTCTATAAGAATATTTATTATTTACTTAAACTTCAGTAAGTCTTCATGAGTGTTTCACAGAAATTTTGTAGAATAATATAGGCTTAAAAAAGAGGGAGACATTTGACCTATTGTATTATTTTAAGAATTAAACTATAATGACAAGACTTAAAGTTTAGGAATACTAAAAATTAGCATTATTAACTTTTTATTTGACTTTTTATAGTCTTTTATATGGTAATTTATATTCAATTATTCAGTAAAAGAGAAAAGAAAATTAGCTTTCAGAAATTAGCTTTCACGAGAATACTTTAACTCCTACTAAATATTTATTACTCTATTCTTGTAACCTTATTTTTACTAACAAACAAAATATATTAGAAAATTCAAGCCATATGTAGAGTAGGTTACACATATAAGCATTTAGTTCTGAAAGTCACTAACATAATTAACAGTTCAGTTAGCTTCTTTTCAGAAATGAGAAGAGTGGATTTTGTTTGGTACGGAGAGGGAGAGAACAAAGAAGTGGAGGGAAGGGAATGGGGGGGAGAAGAGAGGGTAAGGAAGAGAGGAGAGCTGGAAATCAAACCCAAGGGTGTTAGGCATGTTGGGCAAGTTCTATACCACTGAGTTACATTCCCAACTTTGAAAAGAGTGAATTGTTAGTGAATTGCTAAAAGTACTTTATTTTTTGTAAACTTTACTCAATGCATTAAAATGTAACCATGGTGCTAATTACTGAATGATACTACTTATTAGATTTGCATCTGTATGGAATGAAATAAACATTGGAACACATTCACCTATACTCAGACAATATATATTTTTAGAAATTAATAATTCATATACATGATGTTGTAATACAAATATTCAACCCAATATGCCTTTTTTTTTAATGTGCTGGTAATAGGACTTGGATTTAGAGCCTTGCACTCTTGCTTAGCTTTTTTACTCAGGCTAGGCACTATACAACTTTAGCCACACCTCTACTTTTTTTGCTCATTAATTGGAGAGAAATCTCACAGACTTTTCTGCTTTGACTGGCTTTGGACCACAGTCCTCATATTTAAGCCTCCTGAGTAGCTAGGATTACCAAGATGATCCACCTTCACCCAGCTCTAGTAAGCTTTTGATAAGGAATAATTTTTGTGAAAATAATTTAAACCTGAAAGTATCTCTATCTCCAAGTTGGACTTGTGGGCCATTTAAAAAAATACCAGTGGCATTTCCCTCCCATGATTTTCTAAGAGAATATGCTTTTAAGTGACATATGCCTAATAAACCATTTCTCAAGTGTGATCATGAGTAGCTGCACCACTGTAGCTTTTGCTGAATCATATATCGATTAGCAAATTTTTTGATAATAAAATGATAACATTGAGTTTAGAGTTGGAAAAATAAGTATATATAGTATACAACAATACACAGTATTGCCATGATAATGGATAGGAATAAATTGATATAAAATCGACACACATTTATATAAAACCTATATATATATATATATAACCTATACATTTATATAGGTTTTATATAAACATATATCAATTTTATATCAATTTATAGTTATACATTTGTATAATTTAATTGGTACTGGAGTTCTGAATTATCCATTATATCATTATGTGTGTGTGTATGTGTGTGTGTGTGTGTGTATGTGTGTGAGTATGTGTGTGTATGTATTGTATATGCATGTGCTTATGGTCCTGAGATTTAAACTTAGGACCTAGGCACTGTGTATGTATGTGTATTGTGTATGCATGTGCTCATGGTCCTGAGATTTGAACTTGGGACCTAGGCACTGTCCCTGATCTTTTTTGCTCACTTTACCATTGAGCCATAGCTCCACTCTGGCTTTTTTGGTAGTTAATTGGAGATAAGAGTCTCATGGACTTTCCTGCCTGAGCTGACTTTTAAACCATGACCTTCACATCTCAGCCTCCTCGGTAGCAAGGATTACGGGATGAGCCACTGGCATCCAGTCGTATCCACTTTTTGTAGCCAACTAAGTAATTCTGATTAATAACCAGTCAACTTTCTACAACACAAATCTGATCCTAAGACCAAAAAAGGTATTCCACGGGTCTAAAATGTCCTTTCCACCCTCATTAACCCAGTGTCCTTACTCTGTATGTCACCTCTTCTAAGGATAGATGACTTAGCTTTTCGACCATACCTTATGCTTTCCTACTCACACCTCTTTTCATTATTTTCCTTCAGTTTTGGATGACCTCACCTCATTTTCCTTCCTTTTACTGTAGTATTTATTTCATTTTCTTTTTTTTTTTTTTTCGGTCGGTCATGGGGCTTGAACTCTGGGCCTGAGCTCTGTCCCTCAGCTCTTCAGCTCAAGGCAAGCGCTCTACCACTCGAGCTACAGAACCACTTATTTCATTTTCTATAAGTAACTCAAATGCTATTTCCTTTTATTTCCTACTACTGGGAACATTCCCATGTTCCTTGATGTCCTTGTACCTCTTTATTTATACTTCATTTGAGTTCAAATTGATCATCAATAAATCCTATTAGATTGTACATGACAATTACCTTTGAATCATATTGTCCTTTAACATGTTATTCTCAAAGTGATAAATACTTGTTTATATTAATAGGAACAGTATGAATAGTGCCTGAGATAGCCCTCACTGTTAGTACATTTGAAAAACTAACCGAATTAGATGTTGTATACCATTTAATTTTTTTATTTTTAATTTTATTATCAAGGGGATGTACAGAGGGGTTACAGTTACATAAGTGAGGTAGTGAGTACATTTCTTGTTGAACTGATTACCTCCTCCCTCATTTTTCTCCCAGTTCCCCCCCCCCCCCCCCGCAAAAATCTCTCCCCAGTTGTACAGATCATTTCCAGAATATTGTCTTGTGAGCATTACTGCTGCATTGGTTTCCCCTTTGTCATTTGTCTCACCATTTTGTTGTTCCCATTCCTTTCCCTAATTCAGATAAATGTATATACAATACCCAGGGTACCAAAATCAAATACAGTGACAACAGGGGAAAATACAAAAGAAACAAGAAATCACATAGTACAGTAAAAACAACAACAAAAAACCTCTCTGTCCATGTCCAGTAGATACATGAAGAAATGCAAATCAAAACATTAAGATTCCACCTCACACCAGTTAGAATGGCCATTATCAAGAAATCAAGTAACAACAGATGCTGGAGGGGATGTGGCCAAAAGGGAATGCTACTACATTGTTGGTGGGAGTATATACTTGTTCAACCACTCTGGAAAGCAATAAGGAAGTTGCTCAAAAAACTACACATAGAGCTCCCCTATGACCCAGCAATCCCATTTCTGGGCATTTACCCAAATGACCATAAACAAGGCCACACTAAAGCTACTAGCAAAGCTATGTTCATCGCAGCATTATTCACCATAGCTAAGATTTGGAACCAACCCAGATGCCCCTCAGTAGATGAATGGATCAAGAAAATGGAATTCTATGCTTCCATCAGAAAGAATGACACTGCCCCATTTGTAAGGAAAAGGAATAGCTTAGAAAAAATCATATTAAGTAAGTCAGACCCAAGTAAACATAGATCTCATGGTTTCTCTCATTGGTAATAATTAGTATATGTCTAGAATAATCCTAACAGAGAGGAAAATAGCTCAACAACCATGTTCATGACCATATAAGATGATACTAAGCAAAATGTACACCATTTTTTCAGGTAATTTCAGCAGTGATCTTAAAATACCCATATCTTCCATGTAGAGTGCACTTATTATAATGAGTTGGGAACTTACCAGAAATGAATTTCAGAGAACATAGGAAACACTTATAACCAAAAAACATATATAGCCACATTGGTAACCAATAATAATTTTAAATCATTTATAATATTGTTATATTACTGTATATATTACTGTATCATAAATAATTTGTTGTTCACTATAATTTATAAATCTGTACATAAATTTATAGCTTATAAATTTATATAGACTAATTTATAAACAATTTATGTATAAATTTATAAATATAATTTATATAGAGACTATAATTTATAAATCTGTAACTACATATGCAGTTATTTTTATTTGTATTCAATGTATTCTCAGCATAAAACAAAATTTGACCTTTGTATCAATAAACACCTAAAAGATGTAAAATATCATTTTTGGACTCAAGAAATTTACTTTTTAATCTTTTAATTCAGTTTTTAAAGTTTCTTTGTATTATCTTTAGTTGTATAAGGAGTTTCAATTCAGCATGTCAGTGTAAGAGTTATACATGTCCTTAAGACTAAATTCCTCATCAGTCTGCCATATTCTGGCATTCTATCTACAATTATTGGATTGCCTTCACAATTAATACTGAGAAGATCAAACTGTGTGAAGGAAATGTTGTTTTAAAAACAACTCAAAAATTTCTTGCAGCAAATATACCACATTCTTTGTCAATGATGTTTCCAAAATTTTACCATCTTTTACCCTAAGCTGCCACCTGATGGCAAAGATTTTAATGACATTTTTTAGAATATTCAAAAAAGATCCATTAAAATCATTTAGATTTCTATGTATTTGATGTGGGGTCTCCAAAACTCTAAATGCACATTTGTAAAAATATGATGTACTCAATAAAAGTTTGATGATGATTTTAGATCTCAAGGAAATCATTTATTTAACTTTTGCTAGACAATGATCCTTATAAGGAGATTTGTTTTAGAAAAGTCATAGTTACCTTAAAACTTTTAAAATTAGTTTTATTTAATAAAGAGTTTTACTTAAGTCTAGTAACTTTCTCTCTTTTCCTTTCCCTTTTCTTCAGAACAAAGACACTCTGACACTAATGTGTTCTTTTACTTGTGGATCGTCTTTTGTATCATCAGTTCCTGCTACACCCTCATCTGGGATCTAAAGATGGATTGGGGTCTATTTGATAAGAATGCTGGAGAAAACACTTTCCTCCGGGAAGAGATTGTATATCCTCAAAAAGTATGTATAAGATGTTTGCATTAAAAAGAACAAACACCTTATATGTCTCATTTATTACATCCTATTGCAAAACAGATCTAATTCCTGATTATATTAACCTAGTAAAATTAGAAAAGTATTTCCCCAAATAATCAAATCATCAATATATTATGTATAGGTACTATTCGAAGTATAAACAAAATAAATTGTGTTCCTCTAGGAGGCTATAAACTGTTTTCTAAACAAATAAATGAATTCTAGTACAATACAACAAAAAACTAGAACAGCAGGTGAGATTGATTGGACTATATTGTTAACATGGAAAAGTAACAATGAAATCTTTCTCTATAACAAGTATAAGTTAGAGCTGGGAAGGTGGCTCAGTGGTAGAGCGCTTGCCTTGCATGCCTGAGGCCCTGGGTTCCATTCCTCAGCACCACATAAGCAAAAAGAAAAAAGCTGG